ATATATATATATATATATATATATATATATTTCCTTTTTAATGAGTAGTTTCAGTTGTAATATAAAAAATAATTATTGAATTTTTATGTACTTCAGGTAATGTTTCAATTTTTATTTTATTTCCAATAATTATTTATTGTAAAAAAAGATGAAACAATAAAATTGTTGTATTTATATAAAAGAAGCAGAATCTGCATGTGGGTGTATTTATGTCCGTACTATATACCGATCCTCACCGAATTCAGAATACATACGTTCAAAGACACGGCGGAATTCAATAAATATTTTGTAATAGGGCTTTACTATCCTGTAATCTATCAAAAATTATTTTACCTCACGTTTTTCTAAATCATTTATCTTTGCTTTCCTTTGAAGGAAAAATATGCTCAAAACTACCCAGAATAGGTCAAGAAAAAAAAAGTATGTTTGAAACTATTAGAATAGACCTAGAAAGAAAAATTATGTTCCAAACTGCCAGAATAGGCCTAGAAAATAAAAGTACGTTTAAAACTACCAGAATAGGCCTAGAAAGCAAAAGTATGTTTGAAACTACCAGAATAGGCCTAGAAAGAAAAAGTATGTTCCAAACTGCCAGAATAGGCCTAGAAAGAAAAAGTACGTTTAAAACTACCAGAATAGGCCTAGAAAGAAAAAGTATGTTTGAAACTACCAGAATAGACCTAGAAAGAAAAAGTATGTTCCAAACTACCAGAATAGGCCTAGAAAATAAAAGTACGTTTAAAACTACCAGGATAGGCCTAGAAAGAAAAAGTACGTTTAAAACTACCAGAATAGGCCTAGAAAGAAAAAGCATGTTCAAAATTATCAAAATTGGCCAAGAAAGAAAAAAATATATGTTCATAACTACAAGAAATGTATCATTTTTCTGGCTCTATGGGAACACCAAAAAGCTCGATAATTTTTACCGAAGCGCATTGGTAATGATTTTGGTATAGTTAACTATGTTAGTAATGTAGTTAATATAATTTTATAATATGTGATAAAATTTTGAAAATATGAT